TTCCTGCTGACAACCCTTTAACCATAAAGACCGTCTGCTGCCCCGCGGGGCATCCAGCAACCTGTGCTCCCCCCTCATCAGTGTACCTGCCCAGAGCGTCCAGGAATCGAAGTTCCCGGAGTAGTTTTTATTTCCTGTTAGCACCTTAGCTGTAGCATCTTTCATGAAAAACACATCCCAGTTGGCTAATCTACGCAGGTAATAATGTTCTTTTAACGCGCAGCAAAGCCGGGGCGCCCCCCTCCCTCTGGCTGTGAGTGGGCACGTGGCAGGGCGCGCGTCTTGACGGGAGAAGGGCCGCGAGGCTCCTCTTACTTGCGACGTTGGGGCTGGAGCGGTGGTCAGCCCTGTTTTTCATCAGCCTGTCGTCGCCAGGCAACTTCTTTGGTTCGCTGTATTCTGCCCAAGGCATCTGAGGGCTCTCCGGGGACCCGTTTTGAGCTGAATTATTATAGAGCTCAAAACCTTCACTCTTTGGTCGGGGTTTACCTGATCCACGACGATCTGAAACTGAGATGAAAACACCTTCAAGATCTGTCCCTTTGTTCAAGATCTTATCTTAAACACCGTTTAGTCTTAAAGGAAAGGTGAAGCTACAAATACTTAAAACTCCACAAGTAAGAATCTGTTTTTACCAGAAGAAATGAGGTGATTTTTATATAAAAGTAAAATCTTTCTGAAGAATCTCTAGGAAGTTTTCAAAGAAAGCAACATTTAAGGGTCACTGATGAGAAAAACTACTCTTTCAAAGCTCATTTTCTCACTAGCTCACCTGCTTAGGTAACAGGATTACTGTTAAAGTGACTCTTCTGGCTGAAACATAAACACGCTTCCCTCAGTTTTTAAAATGTGTTATTAATTCTTTTAATCACCCAGGGTTGCTGTCCTCATGGGGAACCACTGTCACAGCTGTGATTACTCACTCTTTACTTTTTAGCTTTCCTGTCCTCTCACTCGAGGGCCCTGACCTATTATTTATTCCAACAGTTTCCCTCGTTGGTCCTAAACTCATCATCTAGTTTGCTTCTTGCTTCTAAGACATCAGACAACCAATATGTTAAGTACCATGTCATGAAAAAAGCAAAACCACAGTGCCATGTGAAGGCCTTGTGTTTGTCTGGTCCAGGCTCTCAGTGCTTCGGCTGCAGTCACTACTAGGCATGGGCTCTGGGGATGTACACAGCCAGCCAAGGACATACAAAGTATGTGGTGATTTCACAGACAATGGGAATTATAATGCTTTTCCCCGGCTTCTCAACGAATTCTTTACAAAGCCCCACATTTATACTGATTTTATTCTGAGGTTTTCGATGTACCTACAAAACCACGGTTCCCACCAACAAGTTATTTATTCAAAAACTGAGCTTTTTAGTTAAAGTGAACTCTCTACATAACAATCATGCCCTATCTCAGAGCGTCCAAGACTGAAACAACTATTCGTACACACGCCTGTAAACGTTCCTGCGGGAGAGAATTCTACTTGTTCTTTGAAGGCTTTACATCCCGTGTTTGTTTGTCTGTCAAAGATGAAAAGTCATTCCTCCACTTACTACCAACCAAGTGCCCCGAGTGCTGCTGGCATGTGGAACGTGCGGGGTCCCCTGCAGTCACCAGGCGCCTGCACGTTGTCAGTGGCTCTTGCGGGGGTGGGGGGCCCTAATAAACTACCACCACCATAGCGCGACTGGCCCCAGCAGCCCATGATCTAGTAATCCTGGGCACCGCGCTCAGCCTCGCGTCCTTCTTTAAAACCGGGGTAATAACGACAACAGGGCCTATTCCACAGGGTCTGTATTAGAAGAGGCCACGACTGGAAAAAGCCTGGCACACGGCAGGTGATCAGTAAGCGTGAGCTACGACTGTCAGCAGTCAATGGGGGCGGCGGCGACGACCCGCAGTCCTTACTTCTCTGCATCATGGGCGACGGCTGATTGAGCAGGGTAGCGAGGCCGTGATAAATGGCTCCTTGCTTTGCTACTTCCAGCGTCACCACGGAGCTTGTCCTTGTCATCAGTTCTGCTGCCCTGGGAAGAGAGCATCACGGCTGTAAGAGAAGTGACTCAGGCACCCTTCCTGTCACCACGGCAGCCTGTGGTCAGGGCGAGGCCAGCACGCCCGCCGGCCTCACCCGCCAGCCTGAGTCAAGTTCTGACAGACTCCCTCCCTCTGATTATCAATAAGAACAGTAGATGACGTCCAGAAATTTCAGCAAGTGCTAAGAGTCAAAGAAACGTATTCAGACTAAAATACATAATTTTCACGTACACTAAGACTTTTACGCTTAGAGAGGAAGGGCATAGTTTTCAGCATGGTTTTTCGTCTTCCAATTCCAAAATTTAATATGCAATATCCCTAAAAAGTGCTCTTCTTAAGCTTTAAACAAATAAAGAAACGATACCTTTCTTGAGAGAGTCCTACCAGACTCCGTCCATCCACGCTGAGGAGCTGGTCACCTGCAGCCAGCCGCCCGTCCTGAACACACCCGGAAGGCATGCGGACGGGAAGAGAGGGGGGACAGCAGAGGGAGGAGGGGGGAGAGGAAGCCAATGGTTAAGTACGCTCAGACTTGGGTTTTCCACAGACTAAAACAGCCGGAACATCGCGTGTCGTTTGTTAAACACACGACGCACTGAGAACTGGCCGCTTTAAGAGTCATACCCACCACGTCAGCAGCACCTCCTTTTACAACAGACTTGACGTAGATTCCAAGTTTATCTTGACCAGCACCCTAAACAAAAACAAGGTGGAAAACACCGCACTGAAAATACACGGTAAGAAACGTAAAAATAAAACATGCATATAGATGACTGTAAGTAAAGTCTTAGCTATTGTTTTTACATGAAAATTAGAATTGCGAAAACTATATTAATAGAATTAACACTCCGGTAAATATAAAGAAACTAACAGGAAATGCACCTACTCTGTCTTTCCAAATTAAGAAAAACTACTCCTGAAAAATCAGTCAATCACCAGTCAGCTGGTGAGGTGACCACGACCGACCTGCAGTCCTGCAGGCAGAGATGAGTCCTGACGGCACAAGTGTACATGAGCCACGCTCGCAGCAAGCACTACTACTCACCTTGATACAAAAGCAGCTCACCAGAGGGTTTCTGCACTCCAGAACTTACCCACATCCCCTTACACCCTTATTCTTTCCACACATATAGTTTAAAATCTAAAACAAGGAAAACCTTCTTGTGGCAAACAAGAAGAGGAACTTAGGTAGAGACAGTTATGCAGAAAATACTCTACATTGCTGCAAGTAAAGGGTCACACGTTGTAACCCTAAGGAAGTCCTGAACTACAAGCACCAGCCCACGCAGCACGCGCGCGCACACTAGCTTCACTGCACGTTACATCACGGACGGGCAGGGAACCTCTGTGAGGCGGATGTAAGAAATAGATACAATTGCCTTACAGAATCGCCAGTGTTCTATTTGGACGTTACAACTACAATGTAACATCAAAATTTTAGATAATTTATTAGGGCCACCAAAGGAAGCATTCATACGTATGAAACGTCATTTGGATGTCACTACCAATATTCTACAACTGAGAACGTATTTCTCAGCTCGAACCTCAGTACTTATGAAATATTGTATCACAAAAGCAAAAATATAAGGTATCCCAGAAAGGTATAAAGACAGTTCAACCAATGATTTAATTGACACCAATTTTCTACAACACTCTGGAACTCCCAGATTTCCACTTGAAAACTTATTTTTCCCTTTAGTGAACGGAACAACAGGGTAAAAGAGTGTCGTCTGCCCAACCTCCCGCCTCAGGGAAAACCCAGCTGGGGTGCCGTTTTGTGAGTCTAAGAGCACCTATCACTTACCTCTTTCTGAAGACCATACACACTGCCTCAACACAACAGCTCCACTCCAGGTTTCCTGGGGTTACATTATCTGGGAGCTGATTCTATAAAAGCTCTACACACGGTAAGTAAAATCTGTATATTCTCCTCAGCAGCTCCTGACCCTCTGGCTGTGGTTTCCCGACTGTTCCCCTCAAGACCCCTCTCCATTTCTGTCTGTCTGTCTGTACGTCGACATCCACCGCCCTGCCTCACTACACGTCTCCTGCCCGGTCCAGACGCCCAACCACACGCCCCGAGGACTCAGCTGGCCCTTCTGCCTCACGTAAAAAATTACTGGGATACTCTGGGGAAATACTGTACTTTTCTGGGTACATTTGAAATTTCACGTGTGTGTGTGTACATATATGTATATATAATCACACAATAAATGGGAACTTTCTGAATTTTAGCCTATCGCTTAGCAAAAAAGCAATAAATACAGCTTTCATCTGACTTCCCTTGTGCCAATATGGTTTCCTTGAACCCGAGGCCTAAGATGCTCCGTGGGACACGACTTCTAGGGCAGCCCCCCTGCCCCATCTGTTAAAGTGGGCACCCCTCCTATATTACCTAATTAAATGACTCCTTCAAACAACATTCTATACTTCGATGTAATCTATGATTAATTACCTAATTGGGCTGTTTGAATAACAACTGCGTTCATTCCACAAATAGTCACTGAATGCCTGTACCACGCTAAGCTCTCTGGGTACATGAACGAACAAAAACAGACACCTCCCCACGTCCCCACCCCCAAAGGAGCTCATATTCTAGAGTAGTTTTCTTTGCGGATGTCAAATAATATTTCTGACCGGGGTACTGAAAATCCCTCTGTATCTTTTTCTGTAAACGCTGCGTGATTATTTCCTTGTAACAAGGCCAGATTTGGGGGGAAAGGTTCTAAAAGCATAGTTACTTTTTTCTTCTGCTCTCTATTTGACTGACTATTAAACTTCAAAATCCCAGTTTTTAGTGTGAATGGACACACTACATTTTCACAAGCATTATTTTTTGGGAATGCAATACTGTCCTTGTAATTCAGATTATAAAAACTGTACTTTCAATAAGACAGTCAATCACCATTACCTTTGACAAAAGAAATCTCTAGCAGTAATACCAGTAAGACAGTATTTTTAGTAACTGATGTGTAAACGAAATACCAAATACATATTTGGATATTTTAAAACAATAAATCAAGCCCTCCTCCCCATTTCTGGTATGAAAGATTATTATTAATAAAGAAAAAAAATCTCATTTATTTAGACAAATTAAAGTGATAAGAAAACTTTAATCTTTTTAAAGTCACAAAATAGAAAGTATAAGAAAACCATGAAAATACTGTTCCGCTTCCTCCTGATAAACCAAGAACTTGCAAACGCGCTTTTCGCTGCATACCCGTCAGGGCCTCTGTTAGTCACAGCTTTCCCTCCAGGAAGATGCCCTGGCTGCACATCCACGATGAACTGTAGCTTCACTACATTATTACTTCCTGTCTTCAACCTCTTCATTTAGACCAGTAATCACACACCTGTGGGTAACTACCGGGCTCTAGGATCTCACGACCGCTCTGTATTTTAGACAACTAATACACAGGCTTAAATTCAGCAGACTCCATATGAGCTGCAAGTAGCACTTGAAATAACCCAAAATCCTAATGTTTTTAAACAGATAATTTATTACGCATTACATGCAATACGAAATTTAATAAATCTAAGTTTAAGTATTCAAGTAACCGATCCTGTAATAGATATTTGATAGCATCATTTAAAAAAAATTTTTATTGAAGTCACATCTTTAAACAAGCATTAGTTTACATTATAAATTTCAGAAAAATTCTGGCAAAATGAGGAAAACTCTCCTTATGACTCACCCGCTGGCCCCCTCTATCCAACCTGCCTTAGAAAATTCCCCTTCTGGAAGCACATGCCTCCAACAAAGCTCTCCTGACTCAACAGGTCACCAGCTATCTGTCCGTGGGCACAAGCCTCCTGCATTTGGTGCCCAAGTTCAAGTTCAAGCACACCAGGCCCACCTGATTGCCCTGCACATCCCCCTTCCCACCCCCGGTTGCCAGGTCCTTGCTTTTATTTATGCTGTGCTCATCACACAAAACGACTTTCGGATGCAATGGCTCTGCCAAAATCCTTTTATCACTGGATCCCTAGGCCCACCTGCCGGCCCACTCACCTTGCCAAGGCCAGGCAGGATGCGACCTCTCGCTGGCTCATGTTCCCATGGGATTTCCTGTGTTCCCTCAGACGGTTACAGGCAACTCCTTCCCTAGCTCCCTGCCAGGGCCGCTTCCCAAAATCCCTGCAGTCAGGCTACAACAACGGGGTCAACTCCGTATTTTAAAAACCCTCTCTGGGGAAATCCAGAATCTTACCGAATGAATACGTTGACAGGCTAAGAAGCAGCTGATATGCGCGTTATCTGGGAGCTGGCAACACAGCACTGCGGAACCACTGGTGTAAAAAGTTAGAAACGTCAAGCATTTCTGACTGAGACACTCGGCTCCACCGCTGTCAGGCAGCGGGTGACGAGGAAGGCATGGCGCTGAAGAACTGCTGGGCTTACGGCCTCGCGCGACGGGAAGTTACCTAAAATTCTAAGTCACAGCTGCTCCTTTTAGTTCCAGGTAAGTTCAATTTATGCTTCCTTGTCACAAGGAAGAAACGAGAGGTCATGATTATTAGAGACCTCAATTCAGAAGACCACGAGCATCTAAAAGCTCTACTGAAGGTTGGTCATAAAAACTGACTTTAGTTACAAGTCATCAACAAAGCACCATGAAAAAAGATGATCTTTTAAAAAGACTCTCGGGGGTAGGGAGATACATAAGTAATATTCGAAGACAGGGGTCCCCAACAGCCGGGCCGCACAGCAGGAGGTGAGCTGCGGGCGAGCGAGGGAAGCTTCACCCTCCGCTCCGGATCCCCCCATTGCTCTGATCCACCCCCACTGCTCGCATCACCACCTTGGGCCACCACCCCCCAGTCCGTGGAAAAACTGTCTGCCACGAAACCGGTCCCTGGTGCCAAAAAGGTTGGGGACCGCTGCTCTAAGAGGTATCCAAACTTTGGTTGGCATTTGAATCTTCCAAATGTGGTCTCAACCTCACACTATTTACCTAGTGAATATTCTTTACTTAACAGAGCACTCTGCCTACACGTCTGTTAGCGTGTCCCTTTCTGCAGACTGCCTGTCTCTATGGGGAGGCCCTTCCCTCTTTCCAGGCCGGATCCCTCCCCATCTCTCCTTATTTGAATCTTATCTGTACTTCGTGGGTAGCTCAAGACTATAAACTGGCCATAAAAATCTGTAAATGCAACTGCTGTACAGATAAATTACAGTTCCACTGGTAACTATTTTAGAAAAACAAAATCAAAGATGAATATACCACCTGGAGATGAAAGAACTCTAAGGAATTTCTAACACACTCTCTCTCTCCCTCTCTCTCTCTCTATAAAATCGCCATGGATAGTTACTTTCCACCCCAAAGACCGCAATCTTTGAGCCACGCTGAGGTGATCCAAGGCCTCAATCTGGCCAGAGCAGCCCTGGCTGGAACGGCCCCCGTGACTGGGGAGACGGGAAACTGGTGAGCTGTGTGGGTCCCTACCCACTACCATCTGTACTGGGAACAGGTCAGCTCTTGGAAAAGACGTAATCGTTCCTTAACATTACAGAGCTCTCTGCCTCCCACCCCATTTCATCTGAATAAAAATAAAAACGTTATAGACTATGATAAAAAAAAAGAATAGAGCAAAATTTATTGATTCCAGAAATATTAAACCCCTTATGTCTTATTTCTACACAATAATGCACACACTAGCCCAGTAAGACTGAACTTTAAAAAAACTTACTCG